AGGTATCACTGTTCTAACATCTGACAAAATAGAGTTCAATCCAAAATTAAGCCATACAAGATAAATAAGTTGCACCCAATATCATAAAACAAAACACCACTGGATGTGAAGACAACCCAGGCTTCAACACAGTAACAGTGGCACCAACCCCTGCACTCACCCAGGCAGAAAAACAAATATCAGAGTTAAGTAACATTATAGAGTTAAGTAACATTATAGATCAATGGACTTCCCAGACACCTAAGAACATTCCCTGACAAGCAGAAAGGGCATTCTTATCAGCAGCCCATGGAGCTGCTCTAAAATAGATCACATCTTAGGACACAGATCTTTAACAAAAATAACAAACACTGTATTGCATTTTATCTGTTCACACTGGGACAAAACTGGTGATAAATACCAGAACCTGTGAGACACAATGGAAAGGTTTCTAAAAAAAACTAGAAAAATCCTTAATAGTTTAATGATGTACCTCAAGGATTTAGAAAAACCAGAACATGCCTAACCAACATCAATAGCTAGAAATAAAAGAATCAAATAGTGAATCTGTCTTTGAAAAGACAGACCGACATATCTGTAGCCAAACTAACCACAAGAAAAATGACCAAAATGAATAAAATTAGACATGAAAAGGGAGACGTTTCAACAGACACCAATGAAATTCAGAGGCTCGTTAGGGCCTACTTTGAAACCCCACAGTCGAAAACATTGGAACAGCTATAGAAATGGATGGATTTCTATACATGTATGACATGCCAAAGTTAAAGCAAGAAGGGAAAGCAACTTAGAGCTGTGGGATTTGGTCAGCAATCTGATGTCTCCCAACTAAAACCAGCGCAGACCCTGATGGACTCACGGCAGTTCTAACAGACACTGACAGAACTACCAACAAAGCCCTGCGAATGATTAGAAAAACAGAAAAGAACAAACTCATTCCACATTGCCAGTATCACCCTGATACCAAAACCAGATAAGGACTCGGCACAAAAATGAAATTAGAGGCCAATCTTCCTACTGAATGTGGAACAAAAATACCTGCAAATATCTGCAAATTGAATTACACTACACATCAAAAAGATCACTTGCTGTGATAAAGTCAGTTTCATTCCAGCGATGCAAGGATGGTTCGACATAGTCAAATCAATAAATATATCACATTAACAGACCCAATCAGAGAAATCACATATATCACCTCAATAGATGCAGAAAACATTTTTAACAGAGTCCAACATCCTTTCATGGCAAGAGCCCTAGAGAAATTAAGAAGAGAAGTAACGGATCTCAAACACAAACAGCCAACCTTGTATTATTAAATGGGAGGAAAATGCCAGGCAATACACTAAAATAAGGAATGAGACCAGGGCGTCTATGTTCCCTATACTTAGTGAGCCCTACAAGTCTAAGCTAACAGTGAGAATAAATGGATCCACATAGAAGAGGAAGAAATCAAATTACTCCTTTCTGTGTTCCACATGATTCAACATATATGAAATTCTAAAGACTCCATAAGAAAACATTAAGTAGACCAGGAAGTCAACATAAAATATCAGATGTATATATACCAATAATGAAGTTGCCAAGACATAAACCAGGGAAATAATTCCTGCACCTGAAAGAAAAAAAAAATCATAGGAATAACACTAACCAAAGAAGTAAAAGAAATTTTAATACACTGAAGAAACCATGGAAAAAGACACTTGAAGATGGAAAGCACTCCCATGCTCCAAGATCAGGAGACTTAATATAGTAAAATAGCTGTATTACCAAAAGGATTCAGTGCAGTTGTCATCAAAAGCCCAATGGTGTTCTTCACAGAAATAGGGGAAAAAAATCCTAAAGTTCATAGAGAAGCATGAGAGATCCCAGACAGTCAAAGCAGTCGTGAGTAGAGAAACAATCCTAGAAGTGCAGCAGGACCTGGCTTCGAGTTGCACTACAGGACAACAGTGACAAAGACGGCACGGCACACCTAACGGCACAGAGGACTCAAGCCCACAGCGCTACGGTGCCTGATTTTGACAAAGACCTCAAGCATACACACTGGAGAATGGACGGCCTGTTCAACAAATGAGGCAAAGAAAACTAGACATTTATAGGCTGAAAAATGAAACCAGATCTGTATCTCTACCTGTACAAAACCCAACACAAATGGATCAAGGCCTTAACGTAAGACCGAAGCTTTGAAGTTGCCAGAGAAAACACTTCACGGCACAGGCATAGGCAAGGACCTTCTGAAAAGGACTCCGATGCCTCAGGAAATAATACCGGGAACTGACAAATGGAATTTGATGAAACTCAAGTTTCTGCAGAGCAAATCAAACAGTTCAGTGCAGAGACAGTCTGCAGAGTAGGAAAACATTGCTGTCAGCTATACGTCCACCAGAGGATTAATATCAGAACATATGAAAGCAGCTAAATACTAAAAATTCAAACAACCCTCTCAATCAATAAATGGGCTCATGAAACTAACAGCACTTCTCAAAAGCTCAATAACCACATGAAAAAAACGTCGAGTATTAGCTATCAGGGAAATGCAAATCAAACTATGTTGAGATTCCAGCTCAAGACAGCCACAGAGAAAACAAGTAAGGGGCTAGAGAGAGGGATGAGCAGTAAAGAGGATGAACTCCTGCAGAGCGCACACACTGGGCAGCTCCTAACTGCTGGAACTCCAGCTCCACGGGCAGCCGATGCCTCTGGCCTGCGTGTGCACCTGCACACACAAGTCGACACGCCCCTATACAGACACAGATGCACATAATTTAAAATGAAATGAATCTTTTTTTTAAAAAAAAAAGGAAATTAACAAAGGCTAGTGAAGATGTGGCCAAGGGGAAACGCTCTTAGCTTCTGATGGGAATGTACACTAGTCCAACTGCTATGGAAGTCAGGATGGAGGTTTCTCAAAAACCTAAAACCAGAATTGTCACATGACCCAGATATACCAACTCTGGGTTGTAATGCAGCAGAAGGACGTGTTACTAGTCAACTTGAGCGTCCATGTTTATGGCAGTACTAGTCATAACAGCCAAGTTATGGAGTCAGACATATCCATCTACAAAGGAAAAGTGGCTTATGTACACGAGTTTTATTCAGCCATAAAGAAGACTGAAATCACGGCATGGTGGCACACACCTTTGATCCCAGCACTTGGGAGGCTGAGGGAGGTGGCTCTCTGTGAGTTCAAGGACAGCCTGGTCTACAAAGTGAGTTCCAGGACAGCTGGGGCTACAGTGAGACTCCATCTCATTGAAGTCATGCCATTTATTGGCAACAGATACAGCCAGAAATCATCAAATACTTTGTAAAATCAGCCAGACTCAGAAAAACACATTTTCTAAATGTTTTTAAAGACACATTAAAATTATTTGTATGTATGTACATGGCCATCAAAGCAGAAGGGGAGACTGAGGGAATAAAGGAGACCGGGCGGAAGGGCAGAGAAAGGGGAGCATCAAACATAGAGCACAGCAGGAAGGACTATCTGTAAGAAACCCAATACACTCGTGCCAATAACGAGACCCCATACTACTACAGCGAGCTGTCTCTGTGATTAGGAGGGAGACGAAACAGAGGACACAGTTGCATGTATGAGCCGAATATTGTCAGTATGTGTGTCATGTTCATGCAACTAATGAAGTTTCACTCAGTGAGTTAAAAAAAAGACACCAGGCTGGAGATGGCTCAGTGGTGACAACTGCATCTTGCTCTTGCAGACAACCCCAGTTTGGTCCCCAAAATCCACATCAGGCAGCTCACAACCACCTGTAACTTCAGCTCCAGAGGATGTGACAGTCTCTTCTGGCCTCTGCAGGCGTCTACACTCACATGCACATACCCTCACACAGACACTAAGACCCAAGATTTCAAGAGAAAACGGAAAAAAAGACACCTAACTAGGAGGGAATTGTGGGCAAAAGGAGGGCGTCAGTGGGAGAAGTAACAGAGGGTCACAGGAGACGGAAATGGCCAAAATTCAGTAAATACATGTTTGAAATTGTCAAAGAATTAAAAAAATCTGGTAAGGTTCACCAGCTGAGACAATATAAACATTCTTTAAAGCCGGGCGTGGTGGTGCACACCTTTAGTCCCAGCACTCAGGAGGCAGAGGCAAGCGTATCTCTGTGAGTTCAAGGCCAGCCTGGTCTACACAGCGAGTTCCAGGCCAGCTGGGGCTACAGGGAGACATTGTCTCAAAAAGACAAAAAAATAAATTCTTTAAAAAGGAAAAAAGAAATCACCGAAATGTTTGTAAAAGTGAAAGATTTGTCTTAATCCTGCCAAACACAGTCTCATGATGTGTGTGTAGAGGTATTGGTCTCTTCAAATATATGAAGTTATTTATTCCTGTTACTGGAAATAGAACAGTAAAAGTATCCTCTTAGTATTCTTAAGTTCCTTTAAAAGTTACTGTTGAGGGCTGGAGAGACGGCTCAGCAGTTAAGAGCACTGACTGCTCTTGCAGAGGACTCGGGTTCGATTCCCAGCACCCACATGACGGCTACAAACCATCCTTAACTCCAGTTCCAGGGGAATCCAACGCCGTCTTCTGACCTCTGCTGCACTGCACGACACGGGTACACTCACATACATGCAGGCAATATACTCATACGCATAAAATAAAAGTAATAAAAGTATTTTTTAAAAAAGTTAATGTTGAAAACCTAAAAATATAAAACAAATGCCAACTTTGCCCCCATTTCTCTCCCTACCACGCAACTGCAGAAGGGCAATTTTCTCTCCATGTGTAATAAGACTGATCAATCTGGGGATTTACCCACTGTGAGCCTCTACATCAACGGGATGGCATTTATCATTACGGGTCATGTGTCCTGTTTAAGCTTCCCCCTTCCACATCTGACACATGCTGAGACAGTCCTTTCTGCGTTGGGCTCTTGGGGGTTAAAGGCAGGCTCTCGGGAACAGGCGGGCTCCGGGGAGACAGTGGGTTCTGGGGCACAGGCTCAAACCTCTCGTCATCCATCTCCAAGCTGGACTCGCTCTCTGACAGCTGGCGACAGAGCGCTTCCCTCCTCTCCATCTCCCGCTGGAGCTTTCTCTGCAGCCTCAAGTTTTCTTCCCTCATGTGCCGTTCCTCCTCCAGATACTGGGCCATCTTCTCTGAATCTGAAACGTCAGATCTCTCAATTAAACCAAGTTTGGTACAATCATCACCCCAGGTTTAAAAAGGGAACCCAAGTTCCACGACATGCTGCAGACACAGAACAAGGGTGAGACAGTCTTTTCTCCCTCCTCACTGAGATCAAAGCTTATCCCAGGTACCAAAGTTCACCAGCGAGTTACGTTTAGTGAAAACGTAACAGGAAGTCCTGTGGGCAAGCAAGGCATCCTTGCCTCATTCCCAGACACCAGATGCACCAGCAGGCCCCAGGTCCACCTTCTTGGCGGCAGGCACCTGGGCACCCTCTGCTGGTTCACTGCCACACCTGGCTGGTGCCCCCCTGACCCGCTCCCATCCCCCCCAACAGCTCTCTAGCCAGTCCTCAGGAGGCACAGGTTCTACCTCCTGCTTTCTGCTGTCTCCTAAAATTTAATCACAGGCGCCATCAAGTGAAGGCGGCTTCCAAATGGGCTTCAAGGAGACGCTCCCTAAAGTGGCCTGGGCATTCCTGATCCCCCTTCCGGCTTACAGGCAGCCAACACCAGTGTTCCGACCCTACCAAGGGGCCCGGCAGATTCTAAAACAGAGTCGAGAACTCTTGAGAGAGGTTCAAGTTCACATGCAATCAAGTGTAGGTACGCAGGCTGAGGGGTCAACTGCCACAGACTACCCTTAAGGGGCCTGAGACAGACGCTAAGGAGGGTCATGAAGGCACGCTCGAAGCCCAGCTTAAGCCAGCTTTGGGCAGCAGAGTGCCTGTGGTGGATCTGCAGACTTCACAGGACCACGAGGGACCAGCGTAAAATAGCCTAAAACAGCGTAAAACAGAGTCGAACTAAACAAGGTCTGAGAAGGGGAACTGGGAAGAACTGTTAAAACACGCTGTCTACTCAGCACAGAAAAGACAAACTCACATTTGAGAATGTTTTCATTGGGCTCCCGTTTTCATGGAACATATGCATAAGTTATCTAAAACACATCTCAGAATTACTTGGATTGCAAACAAAAAAAATCAAGGGGACTAGGTCCACTCCTGGGGAAGCTAACTGCTCAGCGCTGGCCACGCCCACAGCCAATCCCCTATGTGAAGTCTACCGCTTTACATGACAAAGACCAAAGGGGCTTTGTGGGTCCACTATGTCAAAGATCTGATAGTGAGATGAAGCTGGAGAGTCCCTGGGTGGGGGAGGGAGAAAAAGGAGACCAGAGCAGGAAGAGGAAGTGACATCATCACAAGGAAGAGGGGCGTCTCCATGCCACACCTCCGGCCTCCTGTGTCGTTTTGAGCCTACAGCAGAATCAGGAAACTAACGCGCCACACTGCGGGGCCTTCGCACCTTCCTGGGCAGCCCGGGGAGCCTGCGACGAACTTCATCCCTATACACTGCATGTGAGCAAGCAAGTCTACCTGGGGTCTATCCTGAGGTACCCCACACACGTAAATGTGTAGAAACACTCGTTCACTGCAGACGGGGCACAAGAGAAAGAAAGGGTTCTTTGGGGGTGGGTGAGATGGCTCGGGGGTAAGGGCGCCTGAGACCAAGCCTGCTGGTCCAAGCTGGATCCCCAGGACCCATACAGTGGAAGGAGAGAACAAGTTGTCCTCTGACCCCCACACGCTGGGCTCCTCTCAACGGCCTGTAACTCCAGCTCCAGGAGATCCGATGCCCTCTGCTGACTTCAATGGCCAAGTGCAATGATGTAGACAAACCCACATTCAGACACACACATAAACACATAAATAAACCTTAAAAACATTTTAAATGGTTAAAATAAACATACAAAAGAATATGTTCACTGTACACTATTGCTCTAAAACAATTTTACATGTATGTATATAGCTGGAGGAACATACAAGATATGCCTGTGGAAACGTCTTGCTTGGAATTAAGGGTGAGAGGGAGATGTTTTTCCTTTTACTATATGAACTCTTAAGATAAATTACTCCAGCCAGAATTCACGAGGACAGACAGGCCCCTCCCCCTGCGCCAGCCCCCCGCCAC